GTTACACAATATTCCAATCAAATATTCTGCCAATAAGCTAATTAATTTGTGTATTATTCTATAAAGTAAATTATCAAGTGTTTGATTTTCAATCTTAATATTTTTACAGTTGTTTAGTATGACTAATAAGATTAGTTAGACAGCAGAGTTTATATCATACTGTGGGGGTGTGATACAGACAATGTGTGTCAACGGAATATTATTCTCACAGTAAGAATCATTGTATTTGTTGGTGTCAACGTCTGAATAATATTCCCACAGTTCAATATCGCATTAGCAACAGAATACGATAAATCTATTTGAACATTCTACTTCATGTCGTTTAATGTGAGCTGAAATCACACGCTCAATGATTGGTTAGAGAAAGTAAAAGTGTATATATATATATATATATATATATATATATATATATATAATTAGCGGTTTGATCACTTTGAAAATATACCTTGGCTTCTTGTCTCGCCTTCTGTTGTTACAAAACAACTAGATTGTAAACTTTTGGACAAAATGGGCAACAAAAAACTACAACTTCATGATTTGGTATTTCTTGATGTATCTGCTCACTTTATTCAGAACAAATGATCATTAGCTATATACACCAAAAGTACACACTAATGACCACTCATATTTAAATAGGTCAAGTAGTCCATAGTAGGCGAAGATTGAAGTCTATTGTTTTTTGTACACATAGTTTAGGATGTATGTAATTAATCCAAAGTGCTTCCATCATCACCTTTAATAACCTTAAATTAGAGTTATGTGAAATAATTGTGAATCAATCATTAATATTGATTTTGTGACTTGGACATTAATAAGTGTTTTGCAATGGATTATGGCGGTTTTGTTTTATATAACTGAGTAATTGTCATGCATTTTATTTTATAATTGTGAATCATGCTATTTGTAAAGCGATTGCAGAGAAACTACGAAATTTGTCTTCTAAATGCCTTAGTCAAATTTATGAAAAGGACTAATTGTTTTAAATTGTCATCACTAAATTAGGCTCACAAAGTGAAGTGAATTTGCTGAATTCAATTAAAACTAGATAAGCATAACATTTATAAGCAGTTAGGAATAAGAAGAGGCTGATACACTTTACTATTTGAAACTGTTAAGATTAATATGCATTCAGTAAAGTTTAGTCGTATCAGTTTAAACTTAGTACCACCAAAAACATTGTAAAGTCTCAAAAGTGGTTAGGAGACTTTTTCTACATTCACTGCTAACAGAATTAGACAATGAGAATACTCGAATGTGAGATGTATAAGTTAAGAAAAATAAAACAAGTGGTCCAGCGTTATAATAGTGAACTTTGCTTTTTTTAATAATGATTATTCAACGAAAAAGTATTGTATATATTTTTAGAAAAAAACAAACAGTAAAGACATTGACAAAAGACGCTAGTTCATAAGCTGTGATTGTACAGCTGTGTAATAAATGAAATCCACATAAACAGTTTCTTCATGAGTTCATTTTCTTTTTATTGCATGGAAATGGGTTAGCCATAGGCTGAAGGAATCTTCAACTGATATCACATACCAAGCACTCGAAAGGAGTCCAAATAGAAAGTGACAGGTTGGATTTCCAAGATTTAGATAAAGATGATCGTGTAAGGAGGAAATGAACAGAGAGAAATTCAATTCAGTAAAGCCCACGGAGTCCTAATTACCACACATGCATGGTCTGCCTAAAACAAATAAACTTAACATTCCTCTCCGCACCATAATGTCAAACTTGCACAGTGGTTAGTGGAATTATTAGAGTCTTTTAGAAGAAGCTTCTGTAAGTTCACTTCGGAAGATACTTTTGGGTTAATTGTCTTGATAACGTTGATATCAAGGACAAGACCATGTTTTCCCCAGATGTTGATTCTTTATTTACAAATGTACCTCTTTTACAGAAGGTTGACATTTTATGTGATTACATCTCTGACAACAGTTTCCTATTAACAGTGTCCATATCTTATTTAAGAGCTACTGCTTCCATGTACTAAAAATGTTAAGTTTACATTTGAGCATTTTCGCCAGATCGATAGTGTTGCTATGGTAAGCCCCCTAGGTCCATTGTTAGCTGATGTATATATATATATATATCGCATGTTGAAAAAGTTTATTTTCATAAGAGACATGTGAATGACATAATAGTCATTTGTGATAAACCGACAGACGCCATAGAAATCCTAAACCAGATCAATACAGTATATCACTAACATATGTTAAAGAGAATAATGTTTGCCTTCCATTTTTAGATGTACCATAACCCGCCGAGAAGATGGGCCAGTAAAACGATCTGTCTACAGAAAGTTCACATGTATGGGACAGTATCTAAATTATCATAGTTTCTGTCCACTACAATAGAAGAAGGCGTTGATAAGTGTTTGTTCAAGAGCATCCACCGTAAATGCACTACCGTTACAATTCAAGAAGAAAGACAACACTTTAATGAAATACTGCCAGAAAACAATTACCTGCTAAGATGTATTAGGCGTTACGGAAATGTCAACCAAAGAGCTCTACCAATCAAATCGGCTCCCAAAAAGGATGTTTATATATCCTTGCTGTTCATGGGTTGACCAACTAAGTCTGGTCAGTAAACAAAGACTCAAGGTAGCAATTAATAGGACTTACACGCAGCTAAACTTATCTTCATAGAGGAAACGAGATCTATGCGGTCCTGTAAACCTTCACAGTATCTGAACTATAGTGTCACATCCCATTGTGTTTATCAATTTACATGTATGGACATACGTACATAGGGAGGAGCCATCGGTCTCTGCAGGTTAGGGCTACAGTACATATTCCAAAGTGGCTGCAACAACAAATAAAATCGCCGGATACAACTGATCCCGGAAATAGATGTCCAATATCATTTATAGCGTAGCACATTAACATAGGGTCAATTTCAGCAGTGCCTTTAAGGCCATATATAAAACAAGGTTGGGTTACATACTTAAATTCGTTGAAGCCTTGGCTATAAAAAGACTTAAATCTGTCTTATGTGTCCAAAAGTTATTTGTTATTACCTATAAACCTGCCTTGGTAATCCAGTTTAGAACCAAAGATCAGTTTACTTCATAATATTTTCAACTCCTTCTTTGCTTTGTTTTTTCTTTCTCACCCACACCTTGGCGTCGTATCCCTACTCATTATTTGTGACCTTGACCTGTACACAGTCTGACCTATATTGTAATAATTCATACCTTCTATAAAACTGTGTATGACAAGTACGTGTGTGATCAGAATGTCCGAAATGTGTTTCAGACAAACTACATCTTCTGATTGTGTTGTCGAAACGTGTGTGGGTCAGTTGGAAATGATTGCAAAGAACAGACTGTCATTCGTATCCCAAAGAAGATTAGGCCATTAAACTGTTATTTTCTTTCGATAGTAAGTGTTGACTGACATCACACCTATTTGAATTAATATATAAAAAGTAGAAGTAAAGGGAACTTCATAAACTGATCAAAGAACGGGAGTTTTAGCAGGAAACGGAAATGAAACCAATTAGTAATCTAAGGAAAAATGAGATAATCTTTCTGGTATTTTCATACTTTCTTTTTCAGAAAGTAAAAGGGAAGTAACGAAAAATAGTGGCGGCACACTGTAACTTGTAGGAATTAATCCTTGTGTGTACTGATCACCGTGCCACAATCGAATTGAACAAAAATGGAAAATTCTTCTGGATAGCTAACGACTGATTTCTTACCAGCTCTATATATACTACTCCCCTCCTAACTTGGAATTTATATGATTCTGTTAAGTGAATCTTCATAGCAGCTTTCAATTACTCATGCTAACCAGTGGTGTTTACTAGCCTGCAGACACACCATTGATGGGCTAAACCTTGAACGAGTAAAGTGCATTCGAGGTGTATAGATCACTTCGACCTGACTAGCAATCAGTATGAGTGGTTCCCAACTACTCATATCAGTGATGTAATTATCCCTTTTAGAAGGTAAGTAGAGTTTGGTCATAAAGGTTTTTTAACAACGAGAAAATATACTAACCGGTGGGTGCGTACTGATGAAGAGTCCCAAACCAGAACGAAACAGCTGTCCAGTATTCCCAGGTTTTCCAATGGTTCTCTTATTAATGTCAGTTCATGATGAAATCCTGTATACTAACCGTGAGTTAGTGTGTCATGTCCATTTCATAAAATTTATTTCATACTTGTACTACATAGGTCGTGACATTTTTTTAGTGTGCTATGCAAATTTATCTGCTTAAACTAACACATCACCAATTAAACAGAATAAATGGAAAAAGCTCATTTAGAGAAATGAAACTCTATAAGTATTTCAATGAATTCCTTCATTGTGTATTTAATTATTATAAGCCTTTACCCTCACTATAAAGGCTTTTTACTTACAAAATCTTATCACTTAAACAGTATGCACTACTGGTGTCAATATTCTCAGGTGGGAAGATTTACAAATCACTAAATTTTCAGTATATTAGATGCCTGAGAAATGAAATCATTCCTGAATATCTACGTCTGGCAGCTCCAATCACAACGGGTAGAGTTTGAAGAGTAATACTATAGTGAAACATTTGTGCAATATGTGCAAAATGAAATTCATTAGTTGAAACATACACCAAAGGAGACAGTTAATTAACGACAACAAGGATTATGACCTCATAACACAGCTTTCTTAGGATGGCCGAGTTAACAGTATTCAAGAAATTGAAGAATATACTTATCGAAAAGTTCAATAAATTGATTTTAAGAGAAATTTGTCTATCCAGTAAACAATACTGTCTCACTGTACAATGTATTCAAATAAACGAATTAATATAGAATTACATACTATCACAGTGTCTATGTTTTACACATATGTAAAGTATTCACATAAAAAGTATTGCCTTCTAATGCAGTTAATTCTGTATTATTTCTCTACACTGAAACATAATAACGATCTTCAGAATTTATTTCTTTTCAAAAGAAAACTAAATTTAAAAATTGCATAAATTCACTAATCAAATTGTTTCAATATCACTTACTGTCAGGAATATTTTCTGGTGAACACTTAGAAATTGAATTATTGTTCGTTGGAAACTGATCAATATTCCATGGTGTACTCAATTGTGCAGTATCCGAAGTGTGTTTATCTAAATAAACATTTTGTGGAATAGTAACATTTTCATCATAAAATCTACTGTTTATTGAAGGCACACCGCATTCTTCAACAGATTCACGTATTTTCTCCTTCTTCCAATGGACTATTAAGTTTGAAGATGATAACTTATTACCATTAGCATTATTAATATTATTATTATTAACATCTCGAATTGAACTATATTCATCTGTTTGAAAATGGAAAAAGAGAGAAGGTAATTGTGATTTTTCTTTAAAAAAATCAGAATATTTGTTTAACAACGGTGACTACCAGTAGAATCCACGAGACGTGTTTCATCTTGTTTGGATCACTTCAGCTGGACGTAGTTGACCCCCCCGTCCCGCGGTAAATGATGGTGTTCACACTGAAACTCGAACCTAGTACGAGAGCCATCTCTTGTGCAACGGGTATTATTTCAAACTATTTATTGGTGTCTTTTATTAAAACGGGAAATGATAGACATGAATAAATAAATCAGAAATAACTAGGTATGGCTTTTATGTTGAGTATCTCATCACAAACTAATCGACAAATCTGTGCCACCAACATTTATTAACTTTTAGCACTTTGGATTTTGAACCAAGTGACTAAATAGTAACAAATGGTTGATATCCTGTAGACGAGAATCTCTAGTTCCCTAAAGAAGACCTTGTTTGCAGCAACACTACGACGCCAACTGCCCCTAAGCAATCTGAAGGATAAACTTCCGGAAATGACCACTCCAATGTGCATATATCAGTTCACCTAACGCTATGGAGCTAGGTACATAGGTCGTTCTATGCCGCCTCTAAAAGGCGGCACTGGTTCAATCAGAAGCGCCATAATTGAACACCAAGTCAGTACTTATCACAGGATCTTGATTGGCCTATCATTCAGAGCCATTTACAAAATGAACAAAAACCTACCGAAGGCAATTTGTTTCCGACTTCTTTGTACCACAGAAGGCCTCGTCATAGGCCGGAGCTGGGTCCAGAAGAAACTAGTCCAACCCCTACATTCACCATGGATCTAGTTATGTTTGGTCCCTTAGTTGTCTTCTCCATTTTTCATTCCCTTCATTTTTCTCATTTTCAGTTATAAAAATTATTACTTCAGTTTGTTTCTATGCTCATCCCTTTCACACTTCTCTGTGTTAATAACTATTTTACATGTTATGTAACTATTATTTAATCCTATGTACTTTTGTTTCTGTACCCCCTTGTGATCTATCTTCATACCTTCAAACTTTCATATCAAATTGAAAATTATTATCTCATTTAACCTTGCTTCGTTACTATGTTAAATTAAATAATAATTGTTACTACGTGAAATTATGCATTAAAAATGCTATTGTGCAGCTTTTGAGGATGAAATCTCTGAAAAGATATCTTCGCTGATCTTCTTGTTCTTTTCTCTCTGTTGTACTTATGGGTATTTTCTACGATTTGAAAAAGGTAACGAATACATCTAAATAGTTAACGATCCTTAGTCTAATCCTACACACAGTGTCTTGAATGGACACTAAGAAAGACACCATGACCATCATAAATATAAATGTTTAGTTCTTTTTGATATTTAATGCTTCACACTATGTGGCATAAACCTTTGGGTCAATGCCTACATCATGAGTCAGAAGTGTAACACGTCTACTTAGATGTCTAGCCATTATTATGATGAGCAATGGGTTAAGAGTTTATCCCTCAAATGATTGACAGGATTATAAGCGGGCAGACAGAAAATAGTTAATATTACACTAACTGGATAAAAAACCCACTTAAGTACTATCATCAATAAGGCATAGGAGGTAAAGCTATATCAATTAAATTAAGGCGAAATCCATTCTTTGTTAGAAAATTTATATATTTATAATGTTTATGGTTAAATATATAACGGCTACCTTTCACATGTCTTTAAACTCAGGTTAACGGATGACTCAAACATTGTAGGCCTATTGGTATCTTTATTATACCAATCATATTTTGACTAAATAAACAATATCACATGATAAAAAGCACAAGTTGTCTCAACAAACTGTGGCTAATACGCTCTGTACCTATGTGTGAAGCACATCAGACATACAGATGGGAAGAGAGTAGAGAAAGCTAGACAGAGATAATGTATGGATGAGTCATATTATAGTGTTTATATCAAACATAAAGACACTGAAGAATTAAGAGGGACAAAGGCAACAATTGAGATATCCGTAAATGGCTCACACAAATGTATTCGCCCACGTCCTTTCATTTTTATGGTAGACATACAAAATTGTAGAAAATTACTGAACAATGAAAATATGTTGGGGGAACACGTCAGACTTACATGGGCACTATTCCTATCATCACAAAGGCAAAAGCTTAATAAACAATTACTAAGCCTAAAATACCATCAGAGCACAAGGTCAATGCTAGGTAACTATAGTTACTGTCTGATGAGTCTCCAAAGTTGATATATGTGAAATTTGTGACTAAAGTAAGCACCGACTTCTGTAAGTTACTAGTGTGACACGTCCTACATTAAGATAAACAAAGAAATTACAAGCAACATGTGTGAAAAGACCGGGTGAAAAAGTTTAGAGAATTTATGCCAGTTCTAGACTTCTGACAGGAATCCCTTCCAAATGTAAGGTATCTTATTTATTTAATTAAACGACAGTAGCATACAAACAAAACACTGAAATTCATTTTTATAATTTAGTGCAAAGTATTTCGGCATATTTAATGTGCAGTTGACCTACCTTCCTGAGATAACACGTTTAGATTTTGTATTTTTGCACATCACTTAAGATAACTTATTAGTTCTCACAACGATCCCTCAGAAGATGGAATTTCCCATTCGAAACTTCACTCCAGAAGAATTTGTGAACTCTTCCAAGTATGACATTGTCTTCCAAGCAATCCACCGAAAGTTAGAACAACACAAAACGCTGACTGTTTATTTGAACAGGAAATACTCCATTTTGTGTATGTTTAATCAACTTTTGTGTTGAACAAACTAGCTTATTTTCAAGTATTGGTTTTTGTAGGGATTTTGTTTGTTTGATTGGTTGGGAGATTTCATCATGAGCTGACATCAGTTAGAGAACCATTAGAAATCCTGGGAGTATTGGAGAGCTGTTTCGTCCTAGTTTGGGACTCTTCACTGTACGTACCCACTGGATGAAATCCTCCAACCAATCAAACAAGCAAAATCCCTACAAAAACCACTACTTGAAAATCGGTCTGATGCTCATTACCGACTGGCCCTATTCAGGCAGTGACCTGGGGTTTTAGTGGGAAGCCGAGACCAGTAGGGTGTAGCACGTTGAAGGTGAGGACAGTTACTCATCGAAAAAGACATCGCGAAGTGGTCGCGCTATGTCATGAACTGGTAGAAGTTAGAATTCATGGGCTGGCCACAGGATCGGGTTCCAGTGGGTTAAGGGTCTACGAGGTCGCTGGCCTTGTAACCAGAAGGTCCTGGGTTCGAACCGGATCCGGTGGATGTGTACTGTGAAGAGTCCCAAACTAGTCTGACGAAACAGCTGTCCAGTACTCCCAGCCTGTTTTCCGATGGTTCTCTAACTGATGTCAGCTCATTATGAAAACCTCCAACCAATCAAACTATTCTTTTTTTATTTTATTTTTTTATTTTGGTTACAGCTTGATGCCACACCGTATTTTCAGTACAAGTATGGAATTTTCAGCATGGATATCGGTAGCCCAAATTTTGCAGGCCGACCATAGATATTGGGTGTGCGTCGGCAGGGGATCGAACCTCGGACCATGTGCATGGTCCTAACCACTGTGCCACCGACGCATATAAAGTTATGAAATAAAATTTGCGTACTTAAACTTACCATTATCCATAGTTACAGGTTGTTTGTTGGATAAGGCAGTTGAACTACTATTTACAGAAAAATGAACAATTTGACTTGAAATACCATTTGTTGAACAGCAAGAGGTATACTGAAGAGATGGAGGAGTATACACATTATTAGGATTTTCCATTGTGATATTAGCTCTTGGATAATATGAACAGCAATGAGTAGCAGTGCATTTTGATAGACTATTAGTACAATGAGCATCTGAAAGTTTTGAATATCCTGTAGATTTTAACAAGCCGTTGCTTATTGTAGGTGATCCTTGAAAAGCAGAAGTATTGATAGGACCACTTTTTATTGAAATATCATTATTCATCATTGTACCACAACTGTTGAGAAAGGCAAATAATCAAGCGGAAAAGAGTTAATTTCACTAGATTAATCTTATTAATTCATTAATGAAGAAAAATGATAATTTGTCTATTAATTCAATCTACAGTCTGTAGATCTGGAGGATATCCTCCAGACAATTAAATTGCTTAGATATATTGTAGACATTATCTGAGAACTTAAAGTTTAACTGAGATGAATGCATTGAAACATTTTTGTCGAATTTCATAGTACTTTTTGTTATAACTTGTCAACAAGAGTTGAACTACAGCTGCATCGAAACCCTTTATGAAAAAAAACCATCTGTTTAATATTCCCATTTATTGGTAGTTATACCTACAACCACTCTTCGTATGTTCACATCATTATTGTAAACAGCCGTCCTTACAGTATAGTGATTCTCTAATTTGTGTTATTTGAAATGAATACAACAAACTTCCAGTTAGCGCGACCGTCAGCCAATGTTCTCTTACCTGACTTAGTGGACCCTGCTGGCCACGACTTCCTACCAGAACTCCAGGTAACTCCCAGTATAGAGCCGGTCACTAGTGAGCATAATATTAATTTCTAAGTGTTGGTTTCCAATTGTTTAATTGGTAACAGGGCTGATCACGAGCTGATATCAGTGAAAGAACCATCGGAAAGCCAGGGAGTAGTGGACAGCTGATTTTATAAACAGTGGAAGTGTACTGCTATAGAGTCCCAGGCTCGGATGAAACAACTATTCAGAACTCCCAAATTTTCTGATGGTATTTTCTGACTGATTTCAGATTGTGATCAAACCTATAACCAATCGAATTCAGGCAAACGAACACTTGAAGATTGCTCAACACTAGTTTATTTTCAGTATGAAAAATGAGTATCAATAACAAAGGTGCATGTAGTGAAGGAATTGATTGGAGAGGAATTATTGAGTCTTACATAAGTTTGCTACTCGAATCACTCAATTTTCATCGAATTATGTTTAAATGTACATATGTCTATATGTATCCCTTTAAGGAATATAACCATTTTCTTCATTATCAAACATCACAATTATCAAATAAAGTATAATTATATTTCAATAGTTTACACACAATGATAAGTTTTGTTATTGGTAATATTTCGAGGAAAATTACTGCCCGTGTTCACACCACTGTTGGAATTGTTTGATCAAAATTATCATTTATGTTCCTAAATGATTAATACTGATCTTAGTGAAGCAATTTATCCAAATATGTGATACTCCCAGCGTAAAATGTTTTTTCAAACAACTGCATGACTAAAACGAAAACTTAGGGCCTCCACAATGTTGTCATATAAGAAAATAACCACAGAAACTTTATCTCAGGTTCACAATAAGGTTGAGGCTGTCAAACGACAACTTCTAATAGCGAAATGTTTTTGGTCAGTTAATTAGTAATTCCAACTGCATATAATGATACTAACTGAATTATACGGTACATCACATTCATTATTTCAAAAGGAAAGTTATTTTATTGCTGAGATTATGTAAAATGGCTTTAGGTTGGTTGATAGATATTCATGCAGTCAAGGCTTATTCTATAATTACTGATCAGCCAACCTAAGTGAGTAGTGTAGATACCTTACTACCAGTGAAAGTGCATCTACTTCTCCTTTTTTATTCAGTATGAGAAAACGCAGCAGAGCAGCTGGGGCAGTGATTACGAATTCAAACTTAGGCATGACTGCTGGCTAGGAACTGAAGTTAATTCTGGACCTAGATAGAACCTGGGCTTTTGTAGATCAGTCAATGGAGCATTGAGTCATTAACTCAGAGGTTACTTAGACCTTTTCGTGTGCATATTGCTTTTGTTTAAAAAGTTAGCCATTAACTCAAATTGGCCTCGCCAATAATCTTGGTACTTTTTCGACAGTCATTATGTCACTAACGTCTATTACTTTCTCACTTTAGTTTTATAATAGACGATTTCTACCAATCCTTGTCAGGCAATGGAACTGTAAGAACAATCTAACAGCTGTCAGGTGGAAATAAATGCAAAGGCTAAAGTTAACTTTCGGTAGATGATAAACCGAACAACTTAAGTATATAGTTAGTACCAAGTAACACGTTATAATAACCAATTAATGTATATCTTCTATATTAATTCAACAAGCCACATATTCTCATTGTTGTTTTGAAACTGATTTCATAAATTGTATGTTTGAAAGCATTAGAAATCATACGCAGCAGTAACAACAGAGCTTGTCAACATTAATATAGTGAACTAATTGACACCGTCCATCAACCAAGTAAACCAAACATGGTTATTCTATCACAATAAATAAATAAAAATCTGAAGATTCAAAAAGACTAAAAACTAACAACGAAAGACCTTCTGCACTATCTTATTTAGTAAACTCTTTGAGGATAAGGTTTATCATACTAGAGGCAGAATTTTATAATTATTAACTTACGAAAGTATGACTGACAAGGACTCAAAGATAAGGTTGTCTGCTTCCTTATTTTTCTTCTACATTGGTATTTTAGATTAATATTTATGAATAAATCGGTGGAAGGAAAAATCAAAGAAAGTATTATTACACTTACCTCACTATTTTCAATAAATCATTTAGTCGATCATTACTAAGGAGAACAATTTGCTCATGAGGGTGATGTCTAGTGGGATTGATGTCAACTGTATACGAACTTGTAGCCGATTGTTCTATATCATATTTATTAGTTTTAGGTAGATCATTGTTTTTGGTACTTTGTATTGATGCTTTATTTGTAAACTTCATCGTTGTTTCATCATTATTCGGAGATGAATTTACTTCGTTCATCATTTTCGATCCTTTCTCGAGGATATGGTTAGAAATATTATTTAAAGAAGTGGCTAAAGCAGCTAACTGTTCTAAAGTGGCAGATCCTGAACTAGGTTGATCATCTGAATTGGGAAATGAATCTTCGTGAAATGAGCTTAAATAACCGTTAATAGCTATGGAAGAAATTATAGAAAAAAGATTCAATAGTTCAACAAACTTCTTTTGGAAAGAGTTCTTTTTTAAAAAAAAAATTTAGTACCTAATACAAATTGTGAAGTCTACAATCGAAATTTTGAGAATATGTTGCATGAAGAACTGAATGTAATGTATGTTTCGTTAGGGTTTTCATAGGGCCCATTCACACATCAGAGGATAAGTAACTGCTGCTTAGATTCAAGCTACAATCGACAGTTTTGGTGGATAGAAGTAGTACGCGTAAACAATATTTATTAAGAAAAATGTTAGTGTAACAGTCACTCAACGATTTTTTGGTACTGACTCTTTTTAGTGAGTTTAGCTCCTGAGGTTTTGAGGAACACTGAAAGAATGTATACTTGCTTACTCATTTTGTACCTTTTTAGGTGTCCACTACTGAGAATTTTCAGAAAAGATGGAACAACTGTCTAGTTCATTTCGCAAATCTAACTAGTCAAGTCCCCAGGAATCTGTTGTCAGTTCAGTTCATTGCTAGAGATAATATGTAACTGTCTGGTTTTATAATGATTTTTGCTATATTCGTACATCCGTGGAAAAATCCAATTCTATTCGTGTGTGTGAGTGACCTGTAACAACAGAAGGCAAGATGCGGAAGCCAAAACATATTTTTCATTAATCAAACCGCTGTTTATATATCTACAGTTTATATTCCTTAGCCAATCACTGAGCGTGTGATTTCCGTCTGCATCAAACGACAAGAAATAAAATGTTAAAATATACATGGTATTCTGTTGCTAATGCAGTATTGAATTGTGGGAACATATGAGAATAACATTCCGTTGACGCACATTGTCTGTATCACACCACCAAAATGTGAGCAGTACGTGATGTCCGAAACAATGAACATTGAGCACTTCACCTTTGAAGCATACACTCATGACCCCACCAAGGATCAAACCCCAGAACCTTCACATTACCAGGAAGCCACTGGAACGGAATCCAAAGGAAGTCCTAGGTTTGATCCCCGTTGAGATCATGGGTGTGCATTGCTGAAGAGTCTCACATTAGGACGAAAGAGATAAGCCAGTACTTTATAGGTTTAATACACCTCTTACTGATAATTTATTATGATAAAATATCGTTTGAAATAAATTAAATCCCCACGAAGCAACTGTTGAAAATCTCATTTTTTTTAAAGATTACACTTAAGCTAGAATAGAAGCAAAATAAAATAAAAATTAAGACACTATACTTTATGATTTTAACAACTTACATGTAACTGGAATGCTGTTCAAGGAATTATTATCATTTTCGTCAGAAGGATCAGTTATCAGCATGTTAGTAGTAGATAAAAGACTGTTTGAGTTATTTGAAAGATTTCCCTAAAAACACAAACCAAGTAGTAAAAAACAATTTCGAATCTATAATTAATTGTATTCATCATAATAAAAGATTTTTAGAGAAATTAACCATTCTCATATAATGAGAAGTAAGGCATGATTGTCCGATGCTTACACCATACAGAAGAGACGAATGGTTATCATCATCACACATAATAGAGCTTATACATTTATATAATTTCATCAATATCCTAAACAAACGTTCCTTTTTATTGCTGCTGATCAAAAATACCTGAGTTCGTAATAAACTTACTAGAGGTAGTGCATTTAAACCATTGAGAGACAACATGAAACAACTTACGGATATCATTTAAAAACATATTGATTTTTCGAATGATCTAAACTAAACTGTGACACATTACAGTGGATAGGTATATTATCACAGTTTGTTGAAGGCTGCACCAATATCCTATAAGCTGTTATTTCCAAACCTATCACAACTGAGACTTCTACTTCACATTCATCAATCATCATCTCAATGCTAGGCCATAATACTCTGAAAACAACTTGATCTTCGATAATCTCAGGAATAAAACACTTCTAGTTGATTTAAATACTTGATTGTTTGTTCCAACTTTTATTTATGAATGCTTTCTCCATGATTTATCCCTTCTTGCTTGCTGTTGACAGTTGCTGACTATATACAACTCATTTTTATGTTTACTAGACGCATTCATCTAATTTGAATCACAAACGCCTTCTCCTTCACTTTTAAATTTCAAAGTGTTAAACTTGAAGTTAGGAAGTAGTTTACCTACATTCTGTGTAGTTAAGTTTCATCTGTTCTTTTGAAAATCCTTTTTAGTGGTGAAATAATACTTCTTTTAAGTTAGTCACACTATAACCATCAGGACGATCGTAATATTTATTTGCGATTGAAATAATAAATATGGGTACTGGGAAAACTAACCAAAGAAAAGTCCGCTGTAACCTATTTTCAGGAAAGTAATTCGAAAAGTACTTATGTGGTGAGAGCTGTCTACTAGCCAAGTGGTGGACAGTAATTGAGGTCAATGTTTATGTATCAAATATTAGTCATGTTGTGGTGAGAGATGGTTGCTGGCCAAATTGGTTGACAGTAATTGAGGTCAAAGGTCAAGGTGGACAGGCGGATACAGTTAACATATAGATGAACTGACACAGCCACAAGAGATGCAAGGTTAACTTTGTGTGAGAAACAACCAATCAACAGACTGTATTTTCTACTAACATTGACCTACAATAATGTACATAAAAATCTATAAATACGTGTTGATTTTTCGTAATAAACGATCTGTTGCCTGGCCCTTGTCTTCTGTTGTTACACTTATTCTAAACATCTGAAACTGACAAATTCGTGAACAATGAAAGCGGTATCATGTAGGATTTGAGAGTTTCTTTTCGTATGTATGGTTTCAATTAGAAATTTTTTATTTTTTATTCCTTCACGTTCCCAGTGAAACATAGGGCTTCAAGCTAGAAGCTTGAAGTTTCCGTAGCAGTGTTTATTTTTACATGCCCAACCTTTTCCACTTTACCAGCATTATTTCTGGCTTAGTGAGGTAAAGGAGTGCGTCGGCCGGGATTCGAACCCCGGACCATGAGCATGGTCGGCGAGCGTCCTAACCGCTATGCCACCGATGCACTTTAATTGGAAAGAACAGCAGATAAAGAAAATGTGTTTTGTAAGCCAAAGTATGTACAGATAAATATGTCCAAATATATTGCTAAAAAGTGCGTCGGTGGTATAGCGGTTAGGACACTCACCGACCATGCACATGGTCCGGGGTTCGATCCCCGGCCGACGCACCCCTTTACCTCGCCAAGCCAGAAATAATGCTAGTAAAGAGAAAAGGTTGGGCATGTGGCTAGCAACCCCATCCTGTAAAACAAACACTGCTACAGAAAATTCAAGCCACTAGCTTGAAACCCTATGTTCCACTGGGGAACGTGAAGGAAAAAAAAATATTGCTAAAATGTTTAAATTTAAACGAAAGAAACAAACATTCCATGCTTTTCTCATACTGATGAAGCTAACATAATCTTGTAGTCCATAGGAGATGATTTATGACCACTCATTTTTTATTAGTAAAATGTATGATATACAGGGAAGTCACGAGATAGTCGAAAACCATCACACTGTTTGTAATGACACTGATTTCTCCTTTAGAAAACTCTCACATGATGAAATGTACTCTTGTCGTTCCATATAATCAAATGACTATCAATTACATCAAGGGTCTATCAGTCATGCGTTAGATTCAACTGATTAACTACTTATGCACGTAGCAACAAAATAACTAAATAAGCCATGTAAATAAATTTAGCACAATTACATAAGACTTATTTGACAAATCACTTATGTCAACATAACAGTGTCTAGTATTTGTGTTAAGTAAATTAGAAAACGTACTTTTGAAAGGCCTACTACACACTTTATGATTCAAGAGCTTTGATTTGTTTGACTTACGCAAATGTAAGGAATGAGTCACTCAAATTAGAAAAAAAAAATTGAGTAGTGTCAAAATGCTAACCACTGACATCTAGGTCAGTTATCTCGCATTATGATGACTCAGCTAATGAGACATTTTTTGATTAGGTTTTAATCCATCTCAGATCACTTAGGCTTTTTTTCTAACTACATTTCCCACATACACAATTTTGCTGCAAAAATATGTCCCAGTTTCTCACATGGATGTTGTTGTTTTTGTTTTGCATATTGTACCAGTTTCCATACATAAATCCATTCTGAAAGGTCAACCTTCTGATTAGTTGAGTTCATTATCTATTCTTTATAGTTGTCCTTTAATATTAAGAAATTAGTACAAGTATTATTATAGTTTCAGTTATGTAAAATAAAGTAGGTGATTCTTCATATGTCATTGTTCATGTATTCTCTATTTATCTTTTCCGTTAACTTTTCTAGTACCCTTTTACTTATGAATCTTGTTACTCTGTCAGAACTATTTTCAAGTTCCGTTTGTTTCAATTCATGAATTTACAGATAGTAGAAGTCTCTTACATTTATGCATTTATAGACCAAACCAAATAACATCAGGAGTATGACATCTAAGGATATAAAACCTGAAACCTCCATGAATTGCAAGTGGTGACTTACAAAAAAAATAGCTGACTTATGTAATATTTAATCTCCTATCTGTATGTCAGACTAAAATCACTTTTCATCGAAAGTAGATGAAGTCTTCTAAAAATAGACGGTATATTCACTTGAAATGAATGACAGTTCAGGATCCACATATGCTTGTATTAGGTTTTAACACTAGAAGGTGTATTTCACTGGTTCTACAATGATCGACGATCCATACAGTGCTAAGATGATTTTCGTTAAATAAATATTGATCTTTAAACCATAAAATGAATTTAGTCAGGTAATAACTCACTTCTATGTCATCATTATTCGTGTTTGCCATTTGTTTTGAATCAGCCCACTTATTTAATAAAGCAGACATTGTTTGTAAAGTTATGTAGTCAGATGTAACTTGATCGGAACGATGTCGTTTCTTTGCAGGTGATAAAATGTTATTTGAACAGTCCACATTTAAAAAATCTGAAGAATAGGTTTCGCAAGGAATTTCTGATGTGACAGAACATGTAGTAGAACCTGTTGATGCTTTTTTCTTGTCCAGACAAAACTGTTTCATCACTAATTGTTTCGATACTTTAGTAGAAGGATTCGGTTGACTGCGTCTACGAATCCGAGATCGTTGAGTGTAGACTACATTATTAAAGCGTACTTCTTGTTCAAATCGAGAAGAATCCTCGGAAAAAAATTCTGCTGCAACTGGTGGTGAGTGGCAGTGAATCGATCGTACATGTTCTACTTTATTTGAAACGGTAACAGCTGTAGCTTTACACTCCCGTCGAGAACATCGCCAAAACACACGATCACCCATGCCATCTCTTGACTTAGTAAATTTGTATCCATCAATCACTAAGCTTCTTTCACCTGGAAGAAATTAATGCTTAATTACAACAAAAATCACACTATTACTGTTGAAAATTCCATTTAATAAAACTAAACGAATATTAATTTTTATTTATCAGAATGTAGCATACACAACTAAAGTGCGCTTATATTTCTGTAAAAGGTTTCTCACCAATAGCTATCAGGATTTTAGTAACATCAAGGGAAACTAGATATCCAAGAATGACCTCGACACTGACAAATGAAAATTTGCGTCTTATGAAATAAGGCAGGTCAACTGAAATGGTGCTGTACAATAATTATGTCATATTAAAAATCGCCAATCTGCAAACATGCGAGGCCTTACCAGTCAAATAATAACAGCCTCACTAAGAAACACAAATGCCCTAAAGTTGTGCGTACTTTACAGTTGAATGGTACTGCGCATCAGACAAAACAGCTATCTAACGATAACTAGCTTTCAAAGTTACGTTTTTTAACCTTGATTCGCGATAAAAACTACCTTGAGACTGATCAAATGTTAGCAAAATAATTATTTAAAGAAATTTACTTTACAAAACTTCAAAAACCTCATAACGTCGAAAAGAACAAAAGACCATCGCACAAATGACAATGAGTACATAGTGAAGATATACAAAGAAAGAATTGTTGGTATTAGATGGTTGGAGGCAATCGGCAGGAAGCCTTGGACCTAGGTTTCGTGCTAGTTGGCACTCATCAGCAAGGCGTATTTGCAACCTTGAAGGAACTGATGTTCCTTCTGAGATTCGAACCCGCGTCACCCAGTGCTGCAGTCAGAGACGTTACCACTGAGCTAATCAGGCTCGCGACTGACCTCCTGTAGGACTGTATTGAATATTTTTGATTGCACACTAGTCAGTAACTAGTGTAATGTGTCTAGTCCTCAAGTAGCACTTGAGGACATAATGCTGGGAGTACAGCTATGCCTGGCTTCTACAGTATTTAAATTTCAAGGGAAAATATACAAACAAACTGAAGGAGTTGCCATGGGATCACCAATATCCCCGGTGGTAGCAGATATATTCATGGATAAGTGGGAAAGCATAGCAATTGAAACGTTCACCTCCACCCCAAAAGTATGGTGGAGGTATGTAGATGACACATTCACTGTACTTAAAACACAAGATATAGATAGGTTTTTCGAACACATCAACTCGAAGGTTGAAGCAATTCAATTCACTTATGAATTGGAAAATCAGGAAGGGTAACTCCCAATGTTAGATTGCAACGTAAAGAGGAAAGAAGATGGGAAGTTAAACACTAGTGTTCACAGGAAACCCACACACTCAAACAGATATTTAGACTTCCGATCGTCCCATCCTATGTCAGTAAAAATAGGATTGGTGAAATGTTTAAATAACAGAGCACAAAAATTAAGTAGTACCAAAGAAAATCTAAAACAGGAACTGATACACATAAAAGAAGTTTTGAAACTTAATAATTACCCGGATAAATTAATCAAGAAATATGTAAGGAAATGTAAAAATAAAATAAATAATGATAGTAGCGATAGTGATAATAACAATAATAATAATAATATTAATGACGACACCAATAATAAGGAATCTAAATGATCAGTAGTAATTCCATACAAGGAAGGAACCTCGGAAGCTTTACGCAGAATTCTTAACAAGGCAGGAATAAAAATGGCATTCAAACCCACAAACTCAATTAGAAACAAGCTTAGTCGGTTAAAGGATCCTGTAGAGCCTTTAAAACAAAACAATTTAGTTTATCTAATACTCTGCCTGCAATGATTGTCAGGTCAAATACATAGGTCAAAATAGTAGAACAGGGGCAGTCAGACTAGCTGAACATAAAAACTTAGCAAAATCTAGATTGGTTGACCCGAATAAGATAAGAAATCTAGAGAATAGTTCAGCTATAGCACTACATGCAGTCACACACAACCATACAGCATAGGATGGGATGGGATAGGATGACAGTTTTAAAATCTAATGTTACAGGGTATAGGGAGAGATTGATAACAGAAGCTTTGTTTATCGAATCAACTACAAATACATGTAATAGGAATGATTCATCACCTGTCCCCGATATCTGCAGAATTCTACTACCCATACGACAAATAGGTGAGAACAAAGAAAACTATAAAACTCAAGTGTCAAAGTCGAGTGATTACAATTGATATGATTATGAACAATAAATTTTGTTCGAAACGTCATCCAGTAAATAATACTGTTTCACTGTGTGATATATCTAATAAAAAAACTAATATGAAAGAAAGAATTGATTCAATAATAGAAACGTCAAGCGAAATCAGACGAAGACATAATCAAGATTTCATTTCATCTTGTTGATAATATATGAAAATTACTTTTTCGCTTAATGTTCTACACAGAAAGCTACTTCTCTGGATTCCATCAGATGTGAATCAATGATTATTTGAAATCAATTTTTACCAGAACTGACAGCCATGATTACATTTCAGTAAAGGAATAAATACCCATCTACTTTTTCTTAATGCTATTCAGCGATGTTTTTCCTAAATTCTATATATATATATATATATATGTATAATTAAGTAGAACCTTTGCATTTAGCCGCAGCCTGCAACAGAAAGCAGTCATCCTCTTACAGTCATTTATCTTCATCGTTAAGTGATCATGGATTCCTTTTTTAAAACTCACGAAAATCTGTCTTGGGAAAAACGATGCTTTGTGGTTAGTACACTGAAACTTGTATTAACGCATAATTCATTTTTATTCAATTGTATTAATACAGTTTGCACGGATGAGGATGTTAAAGCCAGGAGAGCAACATAGGTATTCATTACTCTGAAAACTGTGTGCAGATCGACAGCCCTTAGCACAAGGAGCAAGATCCGAATTCTCAATACTAATACCAAGTTAGTCAGTGTTAAGATATAGTTCAAGTGCTTGGCACGCAATTCACCAAAAGCCTTTCCAACAGGCTAATGTAGACGTTTATCAACAGATACCTACGTTCTATGCTGAAAATCAAATGGCTGGCCAGAAAGAATAAGCAACAAGAAACTTTGGCAGGTAGCTAACCAGTCAACACCATGTTACCCAAAAAATATGCAGGGCAAAATGAAGATGAATTGGACATACACTGAACAGACTGTTGAGTGAAATCACACGACAGGCCGTCGAGTGTAACTCCAAAAGGGAAGCAACAGGTCAGGTGTCCCAGTGTGACATGAAGACCATGTTTAGGGGGAATGAAGGCTTGTGAATAGTCATGGATCCAGCTGAAGGTGACTGCAAAGAATAACGTGGAATGGAAATGTTCTGCTGAAGTTCTATCTTTCACGCGGAACTCAAGGAATGAATAATAATAGAAATAGTAAAACGTTCTAATAAGAGCTAGGACGCTAGTTTTAGTAATCATGCTAGCCAAGGAAGCTTCTCTACAAACCAGTGATAAAATATTAATCCATCAAAAAATATATTTGAGATATGTTTACTGACAAGATTTTTTATCAGCATTTCAGCTAGCTTTCATTGACGTAGCATTATATTTATCGCCTGAAATAGATAAGTTTGCGAGTGGTTGACATTAAAGACGTAGAATTATTGAATAGAGGGAAGGAAGCATATTAATAAAAAGGTACCTTATGTCAAAATGGTTACCCACCAAGATTCGTAGACAAAAACATCAAACAAAATATCCAAAAGCAAGAGACAGCATCCGTGCCAAAAGAGATACTTTATATGAACCTCAACTTCAAAGGAGACCTACTAAGTGACGTCCCTAGAAGGAGAATCTCCACCTCTTTAAGAAGAACTTTCCTTGCGGCAACATTGAGAGTAGTGTTCTCTAGTCGCCCGCTGATCTGCAGAAGTCTTAAGGACGAGATCCCACATCTGACCACTTCTATGTGTACATATCAGTTCACCTGTTGCTGTGGAGCCAGGTACATCGGTCGTTCAACGCGCATCCTGTCAAAAAGGGTCAAAGAACACTATCCAGAGTGGCTGCAGAAAGGAAGTAATAGCTGCATAAGGAGTGCAATAATCGAACACCTCGTCAACACTGGTCATTCCATCTCAACAAACGCCTCCTTCAAAGTAATCTACAAAGCGAAGAACAACCTTCCAAAGACAGTACGATTCCGTCTTCTTTGCATTTCAGAAGCGCTAGCCATTCAGTTAGAAGAACCAGAACTATGCATACAAAAGAAAATTATTCAACCACTTCTCCTATCATGGTAACAACTCTGTTGATTTGACTTAACTTTTGTTTGTATGCTTATTTTTCTACTTAAAACCCTTGTATAATTCCGTATATTTTGTTTCTATGTACACCCTGAGTACAACTCTTTCATCAAACTATTCATGTTATTACGTAACTCTTCATTAACAATCGTTTGTGACAACTCATCACTTTTGTTACCACCCTCATATCAACATCCAATTCATCTGAACTTACTAATTGTATTTTCGTTTGACAAATTTAATGTACACACACATACAAAACAACCATATATATTTGCGATTGTACAGCTATGAAAATGAATTCGCCGAAAAGAGACTCTTCGCTGAACTACTTGTCTTCTGTCTATTAATGTTCGAATGGGAATTTTTCATGAATACCTTATATCAGTTTAAATACAGAATGACACAGTCATAAAATTGTTCTTCAGGCTGGGCACTCTCCAATATTAAGCATTTGTCAACAATTATGTAAAAAAAATTAGATCTACTGAACTCATATGAATAAACAGTGAAGTTCATGTCAAAGCATACAAATAACAAAATAAATCCATTTGAATGCACTCCTAATGTGTTCTTCTGGCAGCCAGATATTCAAACGAAATGGTTGTTACACACAGTTTACAATAGGGTTAAACAATGCAAAATACATTCTGGCTATCTCGTGATACAACATAATTATATTAGGTAATACTCCTGAGCAACTCGGTCTACATATTCTATTTAATAATGAATAGAAACAGATTTTAAAAGCTGATTAGAACGCTATCCACATTTGAGTTGGTTAAAGATGTATGCACAAAACAACGGCCAAACCAACATGATTTATCAAACAGAACAAAACCAGGAACAAAATATAGACATCTGCCTAACAGTCTCCCAAAATGTGGTTCATTTAGCAGTGATTTTTAAAACTAAATATTCTCTTATACAATAGGAAAAATAAGTCTAAGTAACTTCATTTTAACAAAATAATACTAACGTCAATAGAACAAAACATCTTAATAACAAATAAGACCAATAAATATCTAAGGTGGAATATCTATACTTCGTCAGTAAGGATTATCACTTGTGATCAGTTATGTCTCGTGAGAAAAATGTTTATTTTCTTTCATAAATCTTAACACCATTTCACCTACCTTTACGTGTAATGTCGAAGCCCACACGAACTTTGATTAAATTGCATTGTTCCTCGTTGGATTTAACCACTATGCTTTGTACATCTTGTTTTGATGCAATATCTGTGGACATTAGATGATATGTTTTATTGGTTTCTTGTTTAACACTAAGTATTTTTCCAGAAGAATCACAACTTCCAGCATTACTCGAAATACCGTTAGAATCCATTGTAGACACCATACCCATTTGTGTTCCTATGACTTCCATTTTATCAAAACCGTGCATTGAAGTATGAGTATCGCTGTAGCCTGTGATATCCATATTGTCGACTATGCTCCAATAAAGATCTAAATCTAGCATTTCAAAATTGACATTATAGCCAGTTTGTGTTAATAAAACGGCGACTTGAAGATGTGACCTCTAGCCAATGAATGTTGCAGCCTACAAAAGTCTTTTAGTAAGAGTACATCTTGTCTATCAGATGATCAAAGAAGAATTGAAGGAATGCATATCCTCATGTCTGTGTGTGTGTGTGTAACACGCTCTTTGATGCTATTTCGTCCTAGAAAAGGCTATCTTCAAGCTTTTAAACTACAAATGGTTTCACCCTGACCTAACTAACCAATTACTGCACTCCATACAGAACGTCTAATTGGTTAATATACATACACAGGATAGTAGTTATAGTATGAATAATTACAATCAATACAAGTGCTTTTTACTATCAGCCTCTATTTAAGTTTTATTTGATGACTCATATGACAATAGACAATGGTGAAGTAGTATGTATGTCAGGAAAACGATGGCTGTCATGAAGTTATTGTACTTTAGCTGTCTGTTTTTGTTTAGTTGTCTCACAAAATTAGATTTAACTAAAACTAGTTTTCAAAACATTCTTACATCGAAAGAAGCATGGATGTGATCGTGATTCCAGACAAATGGCATATTAATATGGGCTTAGCAATTTGCAAGTATTGGTTTTGTAGGGATTTGGTTTGATTGCATGGAGGGTTTCATCATGAGCTGACATCAGTTAGAGAACCACTGGAAAACCAGCTGGGAGTACTGGACAGCTGTTTCGTCCTAGTTTGGGACTCTTCAGCAGTACGCGCCCAACGGGATTCGAACCCAGGACCTTCTGGTTGCGAGGCGAGCTCGTAGACCATTGAGCCACTGGGACCCGATCCAATGGTCCTTGAATTCTAACTTCTGCCAATTCACGACATAGCGCGACCATTTCGCAATGTCTTCTTCGTGAGTAACTGTCCTCATCTTCGACCTGCTGTACCCTACTGGTCACGGCTTCCCACTAGAACCCCAGGTCGAAGATGAGGACAGTTACTCACGAAGAAGACATTGCGAAATGGTCGCGCTATGTCGTGAATTGGCAGAAGTTAGAATTCAAGGACCATTGGATCGGGTCCCAGTGGCTCAATGGTCTACGAGCTCGCCTCGCAACCAGAAGGTCCTGGGTTCGAATCCCGTTGGGCGCGTACTGCTGAAGAGTCCCAAACTAGGACGAAACAGCTGTCCAGTACTCCCAGCTGGTTTTCCAGTGGTTCTCTAACTGATGTCAGCTCATGATGAAACCCTCCATGCTTAGCAATTTATCAATATTTCAAATTAAAGCACAGTTGTGTGGGCTGATTTAAGCTTAAGTGATAAATTTACTCAACTGGCACAGTGAGACTGCTTTTTGTATCGTATAATTTAATTATTTCGGTAGTTTGTATTTCTAATCACCTTCTTTCTTTGGGAAGTGGTCAATAATTAATGGAATGTAATCAATGTTATGTTGCCTACACCTTAGTGTGTAGACTAAATCTCACCACTCAAGCTTGAAATGTAGGCACCATACCAAGGTATTTACTATTACTATTCTCAATAATCGGCGGCCGAATGGTTGTAGGTAATATATCCAAAACTATTTGCTTAGGTTTGAAGCACATTGACAACTGATAGTGCTTGAGAGAATAGAATTCACATCACCTATAGCCGATAATACAAAGGGTGACACTGAGCTTCTTGGACCCCATTGTAAAACAACACGATGAAAGTTTCAATCCTTCAAAAAGCACCGGTTCCTTCCAAGGCTGAAAACATACATTGCCAATTAGTGTCACTTAGCACGAGATATTAATCCAAACATCCAACATCGACCACAATTTTGTTCTGGAAGTTTTTCTTGCAGTTGTCAATGTTTTAGACTTCGTTCGCAAAGTTTTTAACCTCGGTCTAAGCGTCATTTTCAGTACTAATTCATTAAAAAGAAAAATCTCGAAAGAAAAGACCAACATTTTCCACTTTATTCTTATTTATTTACTTCATTTTCGTTCTTTTCATGAGTGAATGGTTTACTAATCATCTGTCTGAAGTGTCAATCATATGTTAATCAGGGAAATTCCAATAATAATCAATGTGTGCATTGTGGGACCCTGAAATATCGTGAAATAACCAACAATCGCATTGAAGGATTTAAGTAATTGCGAATTGTCAATATTGATGTTCTCGTTATGCCAACTGTACTAAAGTGACTTTAATATTAAGCTTTCAAATATTAGTTTTGCTGGGATTTGATTGATTGGTTACAGGATTTCACCATGAGCTGACAATGGTTAGAGAACCATTGGAAAACCTGGGAGTACTGGACAACTGTTTCGTCCCAGTTTGGGACTCTTCATCAGTACGCACACACCGCCGGAGTTCGAACCCAGGACCTTCTGGTTACAAGGTAGTGGCTGCGTACTGCTGAGGAGTCTGAAACGGGGACGAAACAGCTGTCCAGTACTCCCAGGTTTTCCGATGGTTCTCTAACCATTGTCAGCTCATGATGAAATCCTCCATGCAATCAAACAAAATCCCTACAAAACCAATACATGAAAGTTAATTTCTAGTTATCAGATCACCCTGATCTGACTGGCAAACTGATCATAATGCCAGGTATTGCTTTTAAGTAATAATGAATTTGAAATGACTAATATGTATATGTTCAGATACAGAAATATCAGAAGTTGACTAGTGCTAAATCAACAGTTATGCAAATCTGATGACAATACAAAGATTTTAAACAAAACAGCTACGAAGTATATTAATAAAAAATCTCAAATAAATCCAACGACCTTGATTCATATTTTGTGTTTCTCTACCTCAGTAATTAAAAACTGCCCATTCTAGTAAGCATTGTATGCTGGTTAAATACAAGTAATTTACTATAGGAAGACTGTTTTACCCTAGCTCATCACTGATGTTCTACAATGAGCACAATTGTACAGCTGAACTTCTGAGTGTGAACACTGTATGGGCAATCGTGTCAAATAATAGCAGATATTCAATCTTAACATTTTTTCAAGAGTTGGTTTGTAAGGATTAGATTTGTTTTTCCCAGTTTGATCACGGATTGGTTGGTGGTCGCGTTAAATCACGAATTGGTAGAAGTTAGAATTCATGTGCCTTTGAACCGGGTCCAGGTGGCTGAATGGCATACGAGCTTGCCTTGTAATCGTAAGGTCCTGGGGTTTGAACCCCAGTGTGTGCGTACTACCGATGATTCCCAAAACTAGGATGGAACAGCTGTCAAGTACTCCCTGGTTTTCGTTGTTTCAAATGCCAAATTTTTCAACCATAAGATGTGGTGATGAATCGAATAGCTTTTCTCCAGCTAACATTCCAAACATGGACTTAACAAATGAAAAATAGGTGTTATCTGTGTGCATCATAGTAGATATTGACTGTGCTCAAAATAGACTAAGAAGTCAAAAGTCTTGGAAATTGATAGAAAAGTTTAAACCTAACACCAAAACAAAGAAGAATCGATGGGACGGTTGAAAAGTCCATCTACAGAAAAGAAACCTGGACTGGACAATACCTTCACTACAACAACTTCTGCCCTATAAGCTATAAGGGGCGATTAGTAGTGATACTGTAAAACAGAGCCAGTAGGCTGTGTTTGCCTAACACGGTAGAAGAAGAATTAAGCTTTGTTGAAAAATGCCTTAGGGAAAACGGGTATCTAAAGGGATTTATCCTAAAGTAAAGCAAAGAAAAAGATGAGAAAGCGAACTGTCCAATAGTTGAAAAAGAAGAAAGTGTTCATTTGCCGCCCATACAAAGGAGAAGTAGTATCACAAAAGATTGACAAGAGGATGAAAGCAGCAATATAGGGATGCTTCCCTGCAGCTAAGCTGGTGACACTATACAGCACTACATGCTCTATAAGCCAATCGAAACTGGATAAGTATATATGTATATATATTATTATATATTATTATATTATATATATATATATATATGTATGTATGAAAAATTTAAGCAAAACTGAATAAAAGTAGTTAGAATTGTGGTTAGCCACTATGTGACTTTGAAATATATGATTTCATTCTGCTTTAGTGTCCATGTTTCCAAAATATATCTAGTCATACTTATGCATTGATAAGTCTTCTTTAAACTACAGGATTATATTTCCATTGTTACTTTGCTTATACAATAGATAAGAATTATCAAATGTTGGTTTGCAGGGATTGATTGGTTAAAGGTATGGTCACGTGTCGACATGAGTTAGAGAACCACTAGAAAATCAGAGAGTACTGGACAGCTGTTTCGTCGTAGTCTGGATCTCTTCATCGGTACACACCCACCTATTTGAACCCAGAACCTCCTAGTTACAAGGTGAGCTCTTAAACTATTCAGCCACTGGGACCCTATCTAATAGCCCATGAATTCCAGCTTCTGCAGATTCGCGATATATAGTGCAACTGCCAACCAATGTAATAGACTAGTAACTGTCCTCTTACCTGACTTGTAGAATCCCACTGGTTATGACTTCTCACTAGAACTCCAGATAACTATTTGTATAGGGCTAGTCACTAGTGTTCGTTAGATTGATTTTCAAGTATTGGTTTGCATAATCAACATGTTAGAGCAATTGCTAAAAAACACGCATCGTTACAGAGAGTCAATTAACTCATCAATTTAACCTCAAGGCATCGTCAAAGCATCTTTACTACACGCTGAAATATCAATAGATGTCGGATATTTCTATCCAGTAAAGTCAATAAACAGGAAATTCAAAATTGTTTCAGTAATTAGTAACTGATATTCGTTGCACACGATATGACTATCGTGGTTCAGTATCCTGGAGCATAACCCTTTGCGTCTAAAACGATGTATGTCGGTTTTTCTCTCAATGGGAACACTACCACTGATTGGGATTCAGGTATATTCAACTGAGGAGTCGCAGCTGGAATGAACCACGAGCCCTATATTCCACTTCTAGCCAAAATCAATCAAGTAAGAGTAGATAACTAATTAAAATTGAATAGAGGATGTTAAAAATGTAACAGGAATTTCTCTGGCAGACTTTATCTTTGTGTTTAAAGATACCCATTGTAAGTTTCAAAATACTAACTAGTGAACAAAGAATATTGTTTATGATAACTTCTTCCTTTACTTCTGCAGTTATATATTCATATTAATTACAGGATTATTATTACATACAACAATATTGTTTTTTAATAATACTGAATCAGTGAGATCAAAAATCCAAGAGATATTCGTGAGCAAACTGTTATTAGATTGCAGTTCAAAAT